CACATATACACACACACACATCCACAGGTGTATGCACACACACATACATACACACACATATACACACACATACACATACACACACAAACACACACATCCACAGGTGTATGCAAACACACATCACATATACACACACACATACACACACAAACATACATACCACATACATACACACATATATACACACATACACATACACACACAAACACACACACATCCACAGGTGTATGCACACACACATACACACACATATACACACACATACACACACAAACACACACATACACAAACACACACATACACACACAAAAACACATACACACAAACACACATCACACACAAACACACACCCACAAACACACATACACACACGCTAAATGAATGCTATATGACAGTGATTACATATGCACATATCCACATGTGTATGCAAACAAACACACACACACTAAATGAATGCTATATGACAGCAATTACTTTGAAAATAAATATTTTAAAACAGAAAAAATAGAGGGAATCCTAAAAGCAATACCGCCAACACCCAGAGGGAAAAAGGTTACACTTGCGTTAGTAAGCAGTGGCATTTGTGGGTCTTTAGGATCAGATGTGTCTCGTTCTGATCTTCCTCCACAAAGATGAGGCTGAGGATTTGGGATGAAATCTGTTCAAAGCTTACACAATGCTGCTGTCTTTTCCTGAGCATGTTTTTGTTGAGCATGGCTTTGAGATGATGCAACTTTTAATTTTACACCTAGAATTTAAAAACAGCAACCACATACGTTCTGGTTCAGCTTAGTCTACTTAAGTAAAAGAACAGCAGATGTAGTAACATACAAGAGAGATAATCCACTCGGACTCCGTATCTCTAAACAAGAATGACTGGACTGAATAAGGTGTACACATTGCTGAAAATTTTGAAAAACTCCTTAGGCAAATATTACACAACTAAAACACTGGAGGACAAATCTAAAATGCATTATAAATCTAAAATTGCATTTTAAGGCAGTGAGGGGCTGGTTCAGATTTTTTTCTACATGTATATTGTTAGAATTATAGTATCTGTATGAATGGTTTTCCTTTTCTTTACTTTCAACTTTTAAAACATTTAAAATATGTCTCTCAAATAACACAGTTAGATTCTCCACCCCACCCCCGAGATAGGGCTTCTCTGTGAAATAGTCCTGGCTGTCCTGGAACCCACTATGTAGACCAGACTGGCCTTGAACTCACAGAGATCCGCCTGCCTCTGCCTCCTGAGTGCTGGTCTTAAAGGCACGTGCCACCACCGCCCAGCTAAATTTGTTTTCTGTTTCTGTTCTGAGGCAGGGTCTCACTCTGTACCTTAGGCTACCCTTGAATTTGTTACGCGGTCTACACTGATCCTCCTAAGTGCTGCAATCAGAGGCCAGGGCTCTTATACTGAACTTTAGATTTTGATTTTTAGAAGACATCCGACAAACTTTGTATGAAATTATCTGGTCCATTTACATTTAATGTAATTATCAACAGCAAATTTAAATATACTGCAGTTGATCCCACAGTGAGCCACACAAAACTCCCTCAGGACTCGAGCAGTTAAGTGGACAGCTGCAATAGTAGTAAGCTCTCTGTTCTAGGATCTGCTATCCGTTAGAGCGGGTCTTTGAACAGGCCACGCTTCTTTGTGAGGGTGGAACTCTGCCCACGAACAGGCCAGTAACAGGGTTTAAGAGCTGGATGGACATTTGCAAGGTCATCCCAGGTCCTGAGTTCCCTCTGCGTGTGTGCACACGTACAAGTGCACGCATGTGGACTCAGACCACTTCAAGTTCTATTCCTCTGGCACCAAATGCAAAATAACAGCATTAAAATAAAGCTGTGAGAAAATCATGTACTTTGGGCTTCAAAGAATTTGTAAAACAACTATCCAGTTAAGCTGGCATCACATTCTGTCTCTAGGGCTTACAATCAAAGGGAAGTCAGGGTAAACAATAGTGAGACGCTTCAGGGGTATTTCACAGTGGCAGGGTACGTGCCAACAGACGCCTTGTGTTTAATAAGGTGTCACCTCTGGCTCCATCTCTGAGGGCAGTCGCTCTAACATCACCAGATGGCGTGAACGGGCTCTCCTGGAATGGGGTTGGCAGGATGCATTTCCTTCTAACCAAGTGAGAACATACACCACCACATTAAAGATACTGAGATAAATACTCAGTAATGGTAGTTGTTTATTTCTGTTAATAACTTTGTTTCCAAATATGATGAACAAAGAATACTTGACTCAGAGATTATACGTATTTGTGTGTGTGTGTGTGTGTGTGTGTGTGTGTGTGTGTGTGTCTATGCCTGCATGTGGGGACCATCAGTGATACCTTCTCCTATCATTTCCTTCCTTTACTGATCTCATGGACTGGCTAAACTGGCTGGTCATCGAGCATCTGAGTCCTTCTGTCTCTGCTTCCCTGACTGAGGTTTTAGGCATGCATCCCTGTGTTCAGCTTTTTACGTTGGTGTCACAGATCCAAACTCAAGAACTTTATCCAGTGAGCCATCTCCCAGCCTGACAATACTTATTTCACTATGATTACTTACTTTCATTTCTGCTCAAATATTGGCTCTGTAAGATCAATACACTGTTCCTGTTGTATACATGTATAGATGTGTATCTGAGATGACTGGCCTGGGTAAAGTGACTTCCAATAATCACAGAGCCGCTAATGACTTATAACTACAAGAATCCTAAGAATTAGTCCTCCTCCTCCTCCTTTGTCTTCTCCTCTTCTTTTGAGATAGTTTCTCATCCTCATATGTATCCATCTTACACTGAACTTATGGTCCTCCTGCCTCAGTCTCCTTCAAGCTTAGCAGTCACAAGACATCATTACTAAAAATATAATTGTATGAAGGGGCCAGCAAGATGGCTCAGTGGGTAAAAGTGCTTGCCAAAAAGCTCTGATGATCTGAGTTCAATCCCAGATGCAGCAGCTCACACGTTACCTCAGCACTCCTAAGGTAAGTGAGAAGACAGGGAGAATCAGCTCACATGTGTTACCTCAGCACTCCTAAGGTAAATGAGGAGGAGACAGGGAGAATCAGCTCACACGTGTTACCTCAGCACTCCTAAGGTAAGTGAGGAGAAGACAAGGGGAATCAGCTCACACATCTGTTACCTCAGCACTCCTAAGGTAAATGAGGAGGAGACAGGGAGAATCAGCTCACACAGCACAACAGAGAGCGGTGGCAGAAACAGGAACACAGAGGAAGAAGAGAACTGAAAGCTGTCCTCTGACATTCAAAGCCGCACACTTGCACACACACACATGAGCACACACACACACACGCATGTACACACATGCACGCGCACACACACGCATGCGCGCACACACGCATGTCCTCTCATGTACACACAAACATGCACGTTCATGCATACACACACATTCTAGATATTTTGCAGTTTTATGAGAAGGGTACGGTTTGGAGGTAAGCACCTACTTGGATGCCTTAGGTCCTTGGTTTAAGCCTAAGTCACGTAAAAACAGAACAAAACAAAAATAAATATATGGTTCTGAAGTAAGTGTTTTGATATATATTGAAAGGTATTATAGAAAATAAGGAGTTAACTTAGTCAAACCTCAAGTATTTAAAATAAGAGTGCCCCACAACCAGCAAATACTGCTATTAACCTTGAAGTGATAAAATGAAAATGGGTGTGGTGGCACACATCTTTAATTCCAGCCCTCGGGAGGCAGGGGGATGCACATCACTGTTGCACAAATTCTAATTCATCTTAATAAATAAAAATCTGGAGTCAGGTATTAGGGATGACAGCTGAAAGATCAGAAAAGCATGCAGCCAGGCACCAGAGAGAGGCCTTTTTCCTCTACCAATGCTCAGACTGAAGGGGCGGTCGATTTTATCAGTTCAAGATTAATAGCAGTATTTGCTGGTTGTGGAGCACTCATCTTTTGAGTAATGGAGGTTTGACTAAGTTAACTCCTTATTTTCTATAATACCTTTCAATATATATCAAAACACTTATTTCAGAACCATATATTTATTATTGTTCTGTTCTGTTTTTATGAGACTCTCTACTAATTCTCAGACTGCATCTGAGCTCCCGTCTCCACCGCCTTATATTCCTCTCTCTGCCCAGCCATACCTATCACTCCTGTCTCCACCTTCCTAGTGCTGGGTTTAAAGGCCTGTGACTCCCAAGTACTGAGATTAAAGGTGTGAGCCACCACCTCTGGGCTCTGCTCTCTTTGAGACTGGATAAATCTAGTGTAGCCCAGGGTGGCCTTGAACTCACAGAGGTCCACCTACCTTTGTCTCCTGAGTGCTGGGATTGAAGGTGTGTGCCACCCCTGCCTGGCCTCTATGGCTAACTAGTGATTTAGCTCTGCACTCTGATCTTCAGCCAACTTTTACTTGTTAGATCACAAACAAAATATCTCTACACATCTCTGAGTTCAAGGCCAGCCTAGTCTACAGAGCAAGTTCTAGGACAGCCAAGGATACACAGAGAAATGCTTTCTTAAAAACAAATAAAAATAAACAAAAGTATTCTAGAAAGTCTATAATATCACACCTATATCCTAAACATTTTTAAAAAATCTGATATGCAATAACCCAAATTTCAAATACATTTGAAAACTAAAACAAAATCCCTTTCTGCACGCCGGGCGGTGGTGGTGCACGCCTTTAATCCCAGCACTCGGGAGGCAGAGGCAGGCGGATTTCTGTGAGTTCGAGGCCAGCCTGGTCTACAAGAGCTAGTTCCAGGACAGGAACCAAAACACTACAGAGAAACCCTGTCTCAAAAAAAAAAAATCCCTTTCTGCAGAGAGACTGTTTCCACACTGATACACTGACTTTCCTGTATTATATATTCGTTAGGAAGTACAGCACAAGTACAATATTAAATTGCCTTTACTGTTGAAGACACTTAGTAGTCAGTCCTTACATAGTAACTATAGTTGGTTACAGGAGGTTTTTCAAAAAACCGAAAACTTTAAAATACTTACTATGATCTTCTTACAGTCCTTCCCTCTGCATAGTTCCGTATAGGTTGAATACTGCACGTACATGATCCAGCTTCCAACAAAAACCACCAACCAGGAAAAGAAAAGATACTTCACCCGCATGTATGAGAGACGAGCCTGCAAGTGAAGGACACAAAGGTCACTCATTCAGCAGCGAGCCAGTGCTTGCTGTCCTGGAGCAGGGCGCTCTGCTTGCTTAGAGAAGCTCCATGCACATCTAGAACAAAGCGCATTTTCAAGGAACCCAAACAACACCGGTCTTAGAAAAGTAAGTTCCCCAGTCTTACCAAGGAAAAGGGAACAAAACACTCTTTAGGATGTACAGCCTTTCAAATAGCACAGAGCGCAGCCCTACTGAGACCAGGAAACGAGAGCTACAGTTGCTGTTTATTAGAAACTAACCAAACACTGTTGCAGACGAGAATTTTAAAGGTCTTTATGACTGAACATAGTAACAATAAGATGTCTTAGCCAGCCAGTGGTGGCATACACCTTCAATCCCAGCACTCAGAAGGCAGAGGCAGGTGCATCTCTGTGAGTTGAAGGCCAGCCTGGTCTACAGAGTGAGTTCCCCGACAGCCAGGGCCACACAGAGAAACCCTGTCTTGAAAAACAAAGAAGAATGAGAACAAGAAGAATGGCTTAGCCAGGTATGATGGTGTGTGCTTTTGAGCCCAGCACTTGGGAGGTGAAGCAGAGAGTCAGAAGTTCAAGGTCATCTTCGAGACACTGAGTTGCCAATCTAGACTTTGTAAGATTCTGTCCCAAAAAAGGAAAACAAACAAAAAAGGGAAACAAAAAGAAAATCATAAATCACTCCTCGCACGCCAACTAGGAAGCCACGCACTCGCAGCTGCTGGGGCCTTTCTGCGCCAGGCACAGAGCAAGCCGCTAATCTCCAGTTGGTCAACACCGCCTGGTGTTTACTGTTCAGATAAAGAATTCCAGTGGTTTCATTTAATAAACAGTAGAACTGAGGTCTACAGAGAGAACTGAGCAGAATAAATTAAAGACGCTCACACACAATGAGAGCTAGTTTTGCCGTGACCACCCCGAGCCAGTTTCTCACACTTGGGGAACAGTAGGGTACTGTCAGCACCATGAGCATGAAGAGGGAGCAGGGAGAGAAGAAAGAGCCAAGGTGCACCTGCAGAAGACAGGAGTTCAGAGGGAAATCTGTCCGTGCGTGAAAACCCCAGTACCAAAAGCCTGGGTACAAATAATTCAGTTAGATGGTAGGTTTTTGGATTATATTACTGAATGTAAAAGAGCTTATTTTATGTAGCTCTAGGTGAACTCATAAAAAGAATCTAAACCACACGTAGCACAAGGAACCAAGGGGTCCGTCTAAAAACCTTTTGCCATTATTTGGCCCAACAGAAGTCTGATCACCAGCGATAGACCGGCATGGGCTAACATTATGAGACTCCACCAAGATTAGAGATACTTGCCTGCAAAGTAAGCACACTGTTGTGCACAGAGCAAAAACTAAAGAGCATCAGCTAAAATCCATCTGAAGTCACTGTGCGAGAGCCCAACAATGTTGTCCCTGGCTGCAGCCTTCTCTACCCTGCCAAAGAGAGGCCAGGATCTGGATCTGAGCAAAGCCTCTAGCTGCACCCACCAGTCACAGGAAACGGTGGAGACAGAGGTAGAATCTGAAGCAAGCGACAGAATGAGGCTGTGGGAAACTTAGCAATACGAAGAAGTCATTTCTTCAACCACAAGAGGTAAAAAGCAAGAGAAGGAGAAACTTACAAATGGGAAAATACTGAGACACAGCAAATGACTACAAATGACTATAATATAGAAATCTTTTTAGAGTTCTGACTCAAATGAAAAAAATGGTAAAACAAACAAAAAATAAGCTGGGTGGTGGTGGTGCATGCCTTTAATCCCAGCACTTGGGAGACAGGCAGGTGGACCTCTGAGTTTGAGGCCAGGCTGGTCTACAGAGTGAGTTCCAGGACAGCCAGAGCTGCACAGAGAAATCCTGTTTCAAAAAACCAAAACAACAACAACAACAAGAATCCCCCCCCCCCCAAAACCAAACCCCAAAGAACAAAGGAGGATACCAACAACACGGACAGACAGACAGACATGCTAACACAGAAGGGGGAAGCTTACAGACCACAACCTAGAGGAAGGGCCTGCAGGCAACGCTGAGCGGGATAAATAGTCTTCCCCAGGGTCATCCGCAATACCACATGTTCAACCCTGAAATCATATTCATACACGTAACATTATACAGACGGAGCAGGCTATATTTGTATATTTATATTTAGGAATATATTATGTATGTGCGTACAATTAAAGAAAAAGAGGTCATGAATTTGAGGGGGTGGTGTACATGGGAAGAGCCGCTGGTAAGGGAAGAGGAAAATGGTAAAATTTTAATTTATAAAAAATAAATAAAAATTTTTAATTTCAAAAAATACTAAAAAAAACCCCAAAAAAACAAAAACAAATTTGAAGGCCTGGATTGATGGAACATAATTTAATCCCAGCACCTGGGAGGCACAGGCGGTCTGATCTCTGAGTTCAAGGCCAGTTTGGTCAACATGGAGAGTTCTAGACCAACTAGGGCTACACAGTGACAACCTGCCTCAAAACAAAACAAAGAGAAAACTGTATTTGTGACAAGCCAAAGTTTTTCCTTTTTCTACATTTTCCCAAGTAGGAGAGGGAGAGAGAGAGAGAGAGAGAACTGATTTTCTACAACCACCGTGTGGGTTCCAGAGATTGAATTCAGGTCCTTAGTTTGGCAACGGACACCTGTACTAGCTAAGCCATTCTGCCAGAGTGCTCTCCCTTCCTCCCTTCCCCCTCCTCTATTCTAATGTTTTCAGTGATGGGGATCAGACCCGGGGTTCTGTGTTTCCTAGACAAGCATTCTACCACCAGACTAACCTCCAGACCCCACAAAGAACCACCAACACTTGTGAGACAACTGGTAACTCAAAGAATGACAGAATACCCATGAAGTGAAAAGATGGTTCTGGGGTAGCAGTACTCTGCTCTTCTCTCTCTCCATGAGCTGGAACTTCCCACACACAAAAGGTCAAGCATGTTGTAGAGGAGGTCAGATTAATGATGTCCCCAGCAGGGTTATAGACATCATGACACATCTTTATCCAGCATGCTATGGAAAATTGCTCCTTATGTATACAAAGTGGTGCATTGACCTTAATATCTGCAGATCTGCAGCCTCCCACTGTAAAATGATGACTGAAGGAAGAAACACTATAAATTACACCTCTGTAATTTATACCATGTAATTAAACCATGACTACTATTGCTGTAGTCATGGTTTTTCTTCACAGCAATAGAAACCCTAACTAAGTCACTCCCCCAAGCAACACCCAGCCCAAGATGTCGAATTTGTATGACACTATCATTTTATTTTCGATTAGCCTTTAATGCAGAAATTATTACTAATTTAAAGTTATGTGATATCTGTCTGGGAATGACAGACCAATTGGTAAGAATAATCATCAATCTTTTATTGTAAATACATGTCACTGAAGATGGAAAATATGCACGTGATAAATAACCTTTCTCTGTCAACCCCACACTAGAGAACAGTGGTGTAGGTGGGCACAAAGCCCAAGGGTATCCCCAGCAAGTCTGTAATCCTAGCACTGGAGAGGTAAAGACAGGAAGAACAGAAGTTCAAAGCAAAAGTCAGCTAGCTATGTAGCAAGTTTGGGGCCAGCCTGGGGGACATGACATCTGTCTCAAAGGCAAGGGGCTAGAAAGATAGCTCAGAGGTTAAGAGAACTGGCTGCTCTCCAGATGACCCAAGTTCAAGTCCCAGGACCCACACAGTGAGCAACAGCCATCTGTAACTCCACTTGTCTGGGGATCCAACACCCTTTTCTGACCTTTGCAGGCACTGTGTGCAAGTGGTGTGCAGATGTGTGTGGGTAAAACACTCATCCACATAAAAGAAATATGAAGCGGGGGGTGGGGTAGGGGGAGGCTTCCCACCAAGCCTGCCCCTGACCTGAGTTCAAGCCCTAGAACCCATACGACAGAAAGAGAAAATGTGCTCCCTGCCACAAGCCATTTTATGGCCTCCACACAGATGGCATGTCTGAGGGGGACGTGCACATACATGTGCCCACCTCCCAGATAAATACAAGGCAGAACAGAAAATCCCACAAAACCTCGGAGTTATTTTAAAAAGCAGAAATTTATTTCTTTTTTCAAACTATTGCTGACACCACTTTGATAATTTATCTTAAAACAAATCTAAAGATTTTTTTCTGTTGGTTTTGTTTTTAAGACAGGGTCTATATAGCTACCTGTTCTAGAACTGACTATATAGACCTAGCTGGCCTTAAACTGAAGAGATCTGCTTGCCTTTGCCTCCCGAGTACTGGGATTAAGGGAGTTATTACGTGAGAGTTGATTTTCCTGAGTCCTGTTCTAAAACGTCCAAGTGGAAGCTATACCATGTCTGCAGCTACACCGTGCCTGAACCTACACCGTGTCTGCAGCCACACGGTGTCTGCAGCTACACCGTGTCTGCACCTACACCATGTCTGCAGCTACACCACATCTGTAGCTACACCGTGTCTGCAGCTACACCGTGTCTGCACCTACACCACGTCTGTAGCTACACCGTGCCTGCAGCTGCAATGTGTCTGCAGCATTCTTTCAGTTACACAAGGCCCGCCGAGGAAGAAAGGAAGGGGAGAATCACATATGGGCACAACTGCCAGGAGGTGTGGCTCACTGAGGGGCCAGTTTTGTAGACCAGCAGCTCCTCTGAGAGGGTTAGAAAGGCAGGATGGAGCAGTGAGGAGAAAGGCACACGTGTAATACTAGCCCTGGGGAGGCAGACTCCAGAGGATCCTAGGGCTCAGTTGGCCAATCAGGGTAGCCTAACGACTGAGGGCCAGGCCCCAGTGAGACAACTCATCTCAAAAAACAAGGCAAACTACTCAAGGGGAGTGATTACCAAGTCAACCTCTGGCCTCTACATACACACCTGTACAATGGCAACCCCTCCACCCAAAAATTCACTTAACTGTCAATATTTTTTTAAATTTATTTATTTATTATGTATACAACATTCTGCCTCGATGTATGCCGGTACGCCAGAGGAGGGT